ATATGGTTCCACCGATTTCTGTGATAATACCCGACAGTAGAGGGAAGTATGGACTCCAACCGATGTCTGTCGAGTATGTGATCAGTATATCTCCCGGCTATTCATCAAAATGTTTTGATTAATTATATTTGAATAAAATGTATTGTGGTATTTTTATAATTACTTGAATACTATCAGCTTCAGTGATATCTTCAGAGACACAAACTCTCGCTCTAACTGATCCATTACTAACAGGCGTTCCCTTCATCTGAACCATACCTGAACCCAGAGTTGGAGGAACAATACGATCCTCAAACTAATTGATATAAAAATTAATTAACAATTTAAAATAATTACCAAAAGTATCTATCATAATATGGTAGATTTAGTTATACAATTATTAGTTATAATATTATTATAACTAATTCTTACATTTCTAGGTTTCATTTCTGGTCCTTTAATAAACTCATCAAACTTGTATTTATCCATTCGAGGGTAAAGTCTTCTCCTTTGTCTCACTTTTGCAAATATAAGCGGATCTCTACTTCCATTACAAAGGCTCTCAACCTCTTCAGCCGTCAGATAGAAGAAGGTGTCGGCGGAAGGAATGAGTCCTTCGATGACCATCTGATTAGCCAAATAACGGAAGGCCTGTCTTTGCTTATTATTCATCCAAATCATGAAATATTTAGATAACTCTCGATATCCGACACCATTTCTACTCCACGGGAGTAATAATTTCTTAATTAAAAATTTTCGACTAAATGTTAGAGAAGTCTTGAGTTCAGCGATCACTTGATCCACAGGTTTGGATACTTTTTGCGTTAGTTGTGACTCACTTCCCATTAAAATTGCCTAATGTTCAGAATATTTATATGTAATTTGCTTAATATTTTATAAATTAGTATTAATAAACATAATTAAAATAAAATGAAAGTAAATACTTTTATGTTTTTAACGCAAGGGATAGGGTTGTCAGCCCAGGGCAGGTGCATGGGATCAAACTCGCGATACCCTCTGTGGCCGTGTTTCTCCAAAAAGTCCTTAAACTTCTGTGAGCTCTCATCCGTCCCCTCCATCAGTGTCTTTAACGCCATTTCATCACTCATTTGTCTAAATAATTGCTTATCTTTTATGGATTTGGCGATTTCCCTCAAAGTGTTGGGCACTTCAGCACTGATTACTTACTCTCATCCGTCCCCTCCATCAGTGTCTTTAACGCCATTTCATCACTCATTTGTCTAAATAATTGCTTATCTTTTATGGATTTGGCGATTTCCCTCAAAGTGTTGGGCACTTCAGCACTGATTACTTGATTACACGAAGAGATTAGTAAATTGAAATCCGACTCCAATTCCGGATTATTCTCTGATAATATTGACATAAATAGTTTATAGATAATGTGAACAATTGGATGCAAATCTATACCGACCTTTTGCTCCTTCCAATGCCTTCCTGAGAAACATGTGTTTAATGGATGAGCCCATAGACGCCGGCCCGTGATTCTTGAACTGAGCCATTGCTATCACCTCGTAATTGGCTATAATCTCATCGAATATTAGTTTAGAATTGGGAATCCCTTTCAGTTTAGAGACCACATCAAACTTTATGACATCCATGTAATGAGTTTTATCCTTGATCAGATTTCTGGGCCCATACAGTATCATATGAATCATCTCGAAAAACGCTTTAAATTTATAATATAACGACATTTTCGTCATTTCCTTTTTCGACTCTTTGAATGAATCCAATACATCCTTGTCTTCGATGTGATGGCCAAAGAAAGCCAAAATCATTTGCTTCGCCTGATCAGACTCCGGGTAATCGCCAAAAATCTCACTAAAAACTGACTAAATTATCCAAAAATCAAAACATTAAATATATAAATATTATAGTTATCAATATAATTATCAATATATTTGAATAATTATCAGTTTCTTACGTTTGTTAAGTTAAACATCATTTGATTGTATTGAACGCCCATTTGTAACATATAGGGGTTGTAGTCATCTTCAGTGGTGTTCCCATTAGCCAAACCAAACCGCTATCACAATAATCAATGAAATTATAATATAATTAATTTACTCTAAATTTAAATTCAATTACAAAAAATCCGCTTTTGTTGGCAAAGGTCCAGGTGAAGACCAGCCAAGATGAGGCTCCGGGAAAGTTTTCGCCCCAATGGGCCCGGGAGTAGATCTCAAACTCTGTTTGGTGAGGAGTGTCCAACTCATGCATAATCTCGTAGTCGGTGTAAGAGTTGTCTAAATTAGTTACGGGTCTCGACT